TTTTTGGGACAGCGTCTCACTCTGCTGCCCAGGCTGAAGTGCACTGGCATGATCATAGCTCACTGCAATCTAGAATTCCTGGGTTCAAGCGATCCTCCCACCTCAGCCTCCTGAGTACCAGGGACCACAGGTGTGTGCCACTACCCCCAGCTAATTAAAAAATTTTTTTGTAAAACAAATAAAGGGTATTCAATTAGGAAAGGAGGAAGTCAAATTGTCTCTATTTGCAGATGACATGATTGTATATTTAGAAGACCCCATCGTTCAGCCCCAATCTCCTGAAACTAATAAGCAACTTTGGCAAAGTCTCAGGATACAAAATCAATGTGCAGAAATCACAAGCATTCCTATACACCAATAACAGACTTAAAGAGGGCCAAATCAAGAACGAACTGCCATTCACAACTGCTACAAAGAGAATAAAATACCTAGGAACACAACTAAGAAAGGATATAAAGGACCTCTTCAAGGAGAACTACAAACCACTGCTCAAGAAAATAAGAGAGGACACAAACAGATGGCAAAACATTCCATGCTCATGGTTAGGAAGAATCAATACTGTGAAAATGGCCATACTGCTCAAAGTAATTTATAGATTCAATGCTATCTCCATCAAGCTATCTATGACCCTCTTCACAGATCCCCTTAAACTTCATGTGGAACCAAAAGAGAGCCTGCATAGCCAAGTCAATTCTAAGCAAAAAGAACAAAGCTGGAGGCATCATGCTACCTGACTTCAAACTATACTACAAGGCTACAGTAATCAAAATAGCATGGTACTGGTACCAAAACAGAGATACACACCAATGGAACAGAACAGAGGCCTCAGAGGCAACACCTCTCATCTACAACCATCTGATCTTTGACAAATCTCACAAAAACAAGCAACAGGGAAAGGATTCCCTGTTTAATAAATGATGTTGGGAAAACTAGCTAGCAATGTGCGGAAAGCAGAAACTGGACCCCTTCCTGACACCTACACTAAAATTAACTCCAGGTGGATTAAAGACTTAAACATAAGACCTAATACCATAAAAACCCTAGAAGAAAACCTAAGCAGAACCATTTAGGACATAAGCATAGGCAAGGACTTCATGATTAAAACACCAAAAGCACTGGCAACAAAAGCCAAAATAGACAAATAGGATCTAATTAAACTCCAGAGCTTCTGCACAGCAAAGAAACAATCATCAGAGTGAAGCGGCAACCAACAGAATGGGAAAAAAATTTTTGCAAACTACCCATCTGACAACAGCTAATATCCAGAATCTACAAAGAACTTAAATAAGTCAAAAGTGGGCAAAGGATATGAACAGACACTTTCCAAAAGAAGACATACATGAGGCCAACAAATATATGAAAAAATGCTCATCATCACAGGCCATTAGAGAAATGCAAATCAAAACCACATTGAAATACCATCTCATGCCAGTTTGAATGGCAATCATTAAAAAATCTGGAGATAGCAGATGCTGGAAGAGGATGTGGAGAAATAAAAACACTTTTAAACTGTTGGTGGGAGTGTAAATTAGTTCAACCACTGTGGAAGACAGTGTGGCGATTCCTCAAGGACTTGAAATAGAAATTCCATTTGACCCAGCAATCCCATTACTGGGTATATATCCAAAGGATTATAAATCATTCTATTATAAAGACACATGCACATGTATGTTCACTGCAGCACTGTTTACAATAGCAAAGACCTGGAACCATAGTCATGGTTCCAAATGCCCATCAATGATAGACTGGACAAGGAAAATGTGGCACATATACACCATGGAATACTATGCAGCCACAAAAAACGATCAGTTTGTGTCCTTTGCATGGACATGGATGAAGCTGGAAACCATCATTCTCAGCAAACTGACACAAGAACCTTCGCCTCCCAGGCTCAAGCAATCCTCCCACCTCAGCCTCCCAAGTATCTGGGACTACAGGTGCATGCCATCACGTCCAGCTAATATTTGTATTTTGTAGATACAGGGTTTCACCATGTTACCTAGGCTGGTCTCACACTCCTGAGCTCAAGTGATCTGCCTGCCTTGGTCTCCCGAAGAGCTAAGGTTACAGGCATGGGCCATTGCACCCAGGCTGCTAATACTGCAACTGAAGTAGCTGCTTGTTCTTACTAATGATTTTATGAAACTCTCTTGCAAACAAGTACAGCATAGACAAATTATGTCTGCACAACTCTTAAGAGTTGTTTAAAGTAACATAATAGAAAGACAATGACTAAGGCCCATTCCTTATCTCCAGCTTTGTAAGTCCCAGGCTGCCTATGGCACCTGGACTGATGCCACTGGGTCCCCTAGATCCCATGGCAACAATGGAAAAAGGGCAGGCCAGGGCAAGCATGAGGAATAAACAGTCTTTATTGGGCTCAGACTAGGAGTCTTTGGGCCGAGAGGACCTTGGTATATTTGTCAGTTTTATTCTCCATGTTCTTTTTGGCCTTTTCTCATAGCCTCATGAACTGTTTTTCTTAATAGATCTTCTGGTAATAGACTTTCCTATTCTCCTCCAGGGTGGCCATCACTGTCTGGTATTTCCCATCAGCTTTGTAAGCCCAGTGCTCCAAGTAGGCAAACCTTCTTCAAGGCTTCAGACGCACAACCTTGAGGGTGGCTGAAACCACCATCTGCTTTTCCTTGTCACACAGCAGTGAGATTCCATCAAACACCCTGAGGTAGTCCAGGGCAGCCTGGCCTTGCTTGGTCTTGTTGGGGAGCATACCACATGTGGTCTGCCAAAAGATGTGGCTAGGGGCTCATAAATGGGGGGGTACTTGAGAAGGGTTGCTATTTGTCTGCTTGCAGAGGAAGGCTAGGTACTTTAATTTGTTTCTGTAGAAACTGGCAGAAATGTTGATGTCCTCACAGCACATGACCACTACTTTCTCTGCTGGGTCATGACAGCCTCCAGGTAGCCCAGGAGTTGGACTCAGCTATCAAGCACTAGTACTGCCCCTCTGCCATCTTGGCAGCTGCATGAGAAAATTCTGTCTGTTACATTTCAAATGTATTTCATGTTGAATCTTTCAAACAACTGGCTAACAATAAATATCCAATAATATAAATGATATTTTTACTTTGAAGATATAATTAAAATTTCCTGTTGTAAATTTTGAACCCACATGAGTGTCAATTTCGTCTATTGACTCTCTTACCTCCTCGTGGTAATTCTGTGTGAAGATAGGCCAGTCCTCTGGTCACAGAATGAGCAAGACGGCAAGAGCTTACCCAGTCACTTGTGTGGAGACTTAAATACTTGCATAAAGATCCCTATATAGAGGGGAAAATGCAAAAGAGAAAAAAAAGGTAGAATTAACTTACTTTAACATGAAGAGGTAAGTTAGCATCCTTATAAAGAATTTGCAAATAGGCTAGGAGTCCATGAAGATCCAACGAACTATGACATTTCAGAATCTTGAAAGAGTTAATATGACATTTCTGGGTGTTGAGAGAAGAGGAGAGGATGGGAACAAGGGGAATTTAAACACTATCAATTTTTTTTTTTTTTTTTTGAGACAGAGTCTGATTCTGTCACCCAGGCTGAAGTGCAGTGGCACAATCTCGGCTCACTATAACCTCCACCTTCCAGGTTCAAGTGATTCTCCTGCCTCAGCCTCCCAAGTAGCTGGGACTACAGGCATGCGCCACCAGGCTGGGCTAACTTTTGTATTTTTAGTAGAGACAAGGTTTCACTCTTGGCTAGGCTGGTCTCTTAACTCCTGACCTTGTGATCCGCCTGCCACAGCCTCCCAAAGTGCTGGGATTACATAGGTGTAAGCCACCACACCCAGCCTAAACATTATCAATTTTTATGTCTCCAATATTAAAAATTATGAATGATTATTTCCTTTTAAACAATTCTTTGATAAAATTAAGACAGAAAACATGTATCATTCACCAGTACAAATATAAATCATATTGTTATGGTTCCTAAGTAGAAAATAAAAGGCTTTTGTAAATATATCTATGTATGTATTGGTGCTGCTCAAAGTGCTTATCTACAAACTATTACCAGTTGCTGATGAGAAAAGGAGTTTGCATCAAAATGAATGTCAATCAAAGTACTGCTTCCTTCATCAAAAAACTTATCAAAAAAATTAAATATAAAAGAGAGTAACAAAGAAAGAGGAGAAAGCTGAATAAACAGTATAATTAGTAATACAGTTCATTCACATTGTGGTGTGAGATCCTTATTCCATTGCAGACCATTAATAATCCAGCTTGTGAGTCAGTAATGCTCTCTCCATCAATACAGTGGTCCTCTCTGAAGTCTGATTAACAACTAACATAAGCGTCAATTTTTTTTTTTTTTTTTTTT